AGGCATTAATTGTTCGAGTGTGAAAAATAGCCACAGCGAAAAGTAATTGTTATACGCGGTGTAATTATGGGAATGGTAGACACAGGAGAGGAGGCGTGCACACGTACGCGTATAATACTTTGAATGGCAAATTAATTTATGAACTGTGCGCAGACGCACACGCGTGCGCTCACCGCAGATAATAAATACATTTTAATGCATAAAAATGCAAATTCTGCACAACAACCCCAAGAATACAAGGCGATGTTGTATTTTACTATCATTTTTTTTTTCGTGCAATGCTCACACTCCTCTTTTTCTACTACATGCGGTTTGGAAGAAAAAAAGGCTATATTCATAAAAAGCGTGTACGCGCGATGATAATAATCCGCGCATTTATATGGAAATTCATATTTATGGGTGTATCAGATCACAGCAGAGCAAATAATAATGGTATGTGCACGTTGTGTGTGTGTGTGTGTGTGTACATATAGATAGGCACGCAAGTGCCGATGTGAAATTTACGAGGCTCTTGGCGTTTGTAATAAAACGCATTTTTCGCACTTAAAATGTTATATTGCGTTCTTGAACTTTTTATTTTAATGAATCGAGTTTGCACGTATAATATGGTACACTCATTAGGTCGGACAAGTGTTGTTCAGTGGTCTATTTGAACACACTTTGCGGGTGATTCATCTCTCAAAATTGAAAGAAAAACAATAATCGTTGTTCATTTGAATAGTTGTAATTTTTGCACGATATCCAGTTAAATGTTTTACTGGCAAGCAAACATGTATCATCATAAATAATTTTTGTAGAAAATGTGTACGGTATACAGATTTATGGGCAAAATTTTTACTTTCTGTTATCAGAAGAGGGAGAGAAGAGTTTCTTTCTTCTCGTCTCACGTGATTTTTTGAATCTTTTGAGTAATAAGATAGTAATTTTTTAAGATTTTTTTAAATCTTTCGAGGACCAGCGATTCAGTGACCAATTTTATCAACGAAAAATTACTGTTGACTTCGTCAGGGTGATTGATAAGACTAAATATTTTTCTCTCAGAGAGCTCGAAAATAATTTTTGTAAAATAGAATTCTATTATTTTTTCATCGAGATATCTGTATGTGATATATAATATCACAAAATACTAGCAGTGGTGCTCGGTTGCGTCACACCAATGTGCACCAATCATTGATATAATTAAAAACCAATCGATACTTACATACATGAAATAAGTATATGATAAAAATTATGGTAACTTTTTAGCCAGAGGATATAGAATTTTTTTAAATACTTTGATGTGGACACCGTATAGGGACTCTCAGAAATGTATACACCATACTAAAGGCAGTCGTTGCTCTCAACTTGGTCTACAATTGTCACAAAACGCCCTCGAGAGGACCCTTTATTTTCAATCTTTTAAGATAAAATACGTTATGCCGAGATATGATAGGTGACTTGAAAAGTGTATCGATTTTTGGTAGCTCGGTAATTTGCATTATTCGTGGTCATTTTTTCGTTGAGTGTGCGATTCAAGTCCACAAGTGAATGAAATAACAAATGTATCCATCGTTGATCAAATCACTACTTTTCAAAATAAAACTTAAAGTCTCGAAATTTTCAGGACTTAACACTTCAATGTTTTTTTGGCCTGAGTATTTATTGATTTTCTTACACCACACCTTTTTAAACAAAAAACAAAAAAAAAACAGAAATTATATTATTCTTGTTGTAGTTGCCGATAGGTAAAAGAAAGAATCCCGCAATAATTAAGAGCCTCAAAACTCTTAAACTCAACGAAACACCATACGACATTACATAGGTACATGCACTCGCTAAAAGACAAGTCCGCGCATATAATGCAACATTTGCTCGCCTGATTCGGCGGCCCCGTGCATAATTAATCGTCCCGGGACTTTCTCCCTCTACACGGCAAACACTCTAGCCCATGTTATGCATCTTTTTTTTTTTTTTTTTTTTTTTTAATTCATCAAAGTACCTGTTTTGCGTGATATACGTGTACATGTGCCCCTAACGACCTATTAATCGTCATAAAAAGCAAAATGTGAAGAAAGAAAAAAATAAATAAAAAAGAAGCCGATCGACTCTCCGCTGCCGCTCATCATTCATCCGCTGTCGATGTGGCCGTTATCCGTTATCTAAGTGAATTTCGCGTGTACGGAACGTGTACGTACTTAATACATATTTCCCAAGTAAAAAAAAAAAAAAAAAATCTATGCGCCTGTTAGCGCTGATTCCAACGTATAAGCGCGAATCGGTGAGTTTGCTCGCGTACACCCGTGTACGAGCGGACGGCGATCGGTTTTGAATTATTTACACGCGCTTGAATTTATTAATCGCAATTACGCGCTTGCGTGCGCGATTTTTGAGATATACCTCGCTAGTGCGCGTGTGTGTTATCGACGAATTGCGCGCTCTTGCAAAATTAATGCCCGCGATGGTGTGTGTTACACGCGCCACATGTTATGTGGTTATGGATAAAAAAAGGTGATCGAGTGTGTTTTCGATGCCCAAGTGTGTATGGGCTCGAGAGACGATCTAACCGACGGCTGTGAACAAAATCGCTGTAGTCACTCGCACAACGAATTGAGGTGTCGTCGACGATCGTGAGCTTTCGAGAGCAAACGCTGTTTTGATTATTTTTTGACTGATTATTCATTATGTGGAAATCATGTGGACTTGTGCTCATAAACTCATTAAGAAAAAACTTGACAGAAAGAAAAAGAATGTACAATTAATGAAGTTCTAATTTCGCTGGGTATCTCAAATCTATTTAACCCTTGCACGTCGTCGTGTAACAGCCAAAGACTAACCTATTCTAACCTATTACTCTGCTATGGGAATGACCGTACATCAATTGAATTAATGAAAAACATAGTTTCACGTCCTTTAAGACCCGTTAGGTATATCCATACCCGTGGAATATCTAGACAAGCCTAATTATATTATCTTTCGTATGGATTGAAAGCAACTACAATAAGAATTATTAAGCCAAGGAAGTAGAGACAACAATAATGACAACAATAACTTCACCCGAGACATCCTGCACGATAGAAAAGAGGAATCGTGGTTTCTACAAAAATGAATAAAAAAAGGTGTTCCTACAATTATCTCGGAAAAGCTGTTGGAGGTGCACAATTGATATGCGTCAATTCATCCCAATGTCGTTCAACTGCTGTTATTTCTATATACTTGACAAACAATCCGCGAGCCTCGCTCTCTCATTGAAGTTTCGATTTGCTTTTGCTTGTCTTTGTTACAGTAGCACCACCATCATGTGTGTCTTTCTTGTTTGATCGTTAAATGTAAATTAAAAATACACCGAAGAACAAGGCTTGTTATTGTTATATTTCTTTGATAAAACTCGATGAGCAACGAAAGCACTATACGAACTCGCTTTCTTCTTCTCTCAAGACGCAGCTAGATTTGTACTGGCTTTTTTGCCACTGGCTACATCAATTTTAACACTATATGCGGTGTAAAAATTCGAGTACAATAGATCCACCGCTAAAAAAGAAGTTGTAAGTAGGTATAGTAAAACGAAAAAAACAACAACAACTCTCTAACGAGCGAGTTTGGGTTTCGCGCGCGGGACAAGGGGCTCCGGCGCTTGAGCTAATTCGCGGACTTAAAAATAGCGAAAAACGGAAAAGCGTCTCTTTACCACGACAATTAGCGGCAACGGCACCGCTAAACCGTCACCGTTGAGTACAAAAGCGCGATCTAATTATCCGTGTGCGCGTTTTTCGTTCCTTTTGTGACCAAGAAACTGCTGAATGTGAAGCGATAAGTGGTTAAAAAAAAAAAAAAAATACTACTGCATTTAGGAAATTTTATTTTGATTTTCTTGGAAACTAAATAAAGACACTCCATGGTGTAGTAATTTGGTAAAATTCTGGGTAATAGTGATAATTATAAATGATGATAACAACATTAACGCGAGTACGATTAATTTTACTTTTCAATGAGGAAGTTGCGTTATGTACTTGATAATCACCATTGTAAATCTTTTCCACAAACACGTATCTTTACTAAAACGAGAAAAAAAAGTAACACGAAACGACAAATGATTGGCAATTCACCACACTTCCGTAAAAAAAAAAAAAAAAAAAAAATGAGAGAAAAACTACAATCTCGACAAAAAAACGCTATTAAAATAAGAGCACGCATCGTTACACATAAAAACGGCCTACATGTAAGGCGCGCGTACCTCAAAAAATATTAACAAGCTATAACTTTCGTAAGCACCATAAATTCATCGTACGCGCTATTGCGTGTCATTTAAACGATAAAATGAATTATTAGACGCGTTACGAGCAATACACGTACATCGCGTTAAAAAACACAAATGCGCGAAATAAGCACGAATTTCATTGGCGGCGTGCATTGCAATTCGCAAAAACACACATTTCCTCTCTCTTCGTATACCACGCACAAAGAAGATTCAGCCACGACACGTACATCGCGAGCGGCGTTGAGCAACACGCGCTTAATGAAATTAAAAAGGCAGAATTCCGCCGAGAGCGCGTTGTTTCAGCAAGACAAATAACAACAAAAGCCCTCCCTACCCCGTATTAGCACCTTGACTCGCGATAATTTTCCGCCGCAGCGTGGAAACGTGCAAATCGAGCCCGAAAATTCCCACTATCGGCGGATCTCTCTTATCACCGCGATGAACTGCAAACATACTCTCTCTCTCTCTCTGTCTCCCGTGCGGCCGTGCGAGATTGCAAGCGGAGAGATCGAGGAGAGCTCTGTATGTACCGATCTCCATGTACATCAGCTCGAGCTGCGCCGCTGGATTTTCAATTTCTCGGTTATTATGTATTGCCAGTTTCCCAAATTGCGTTTGTGTAAGAAAAAAAAAAAAAAAAAAAAAAAAAAAAAAAAAAATCGCGATCGGCGCATACTCGAGGTTTTCCTTTTTCAACACAAACACTCGCGCGCACACCTTGCGATGCGATCGATCACTCGGGAAAACAAAACCAAACACAACTCACCCTTCTGGTCGGTTCTGTCGGCAGCCTTTGCTGGCCTCTCCTCATGCAATGATCTTCTGTCCGTCGCTCGCTACAAATCGGCTCCCAAATATCGAAAGGTGCGCGCTGAACTGCAGATTTTGGGCCTCGTCAAACGTGATGGGTACAGGCACAAGTGGTAAACACACGGTCACTCGGTATTATACTCTGCCCAGGGCGAGGAGGGAGGGGAAAAAAAAAAAAAAAAAAAAAAAAAAAAAAAAAAAGAATGAGAAGCGCACCGATCTGTATCCGCGACTACCTCGAACCGCACTGGGAAAAACCGGCAGCAGTCCTGATGTTCCCAGCATCAGGCATGTTGAGCATCGTATGGGCCCAATGAGCCAATAAGCACCAAAACCAAACGAACCGAACGTCACTAATTGACAAAGAGACAAAGACAAGAGTTCCGATACTTTCGGTACCGTGGACGGCGAAGGACTGGCTGCTGCGGCGGTGCGCGATACCGATCCGCGTGCGCGCGCGCGCGCGCTCCGAAGACGCGCGCCTGGGCGATGCTCGGTATATAGCTGCGCCGCACACGCTCTCTCTTTTCGCTTGATGATGGCTGGCTCTCCTACACAGTTATAATAATATATACAAGCGTGTGACTATCTTTACGTTTATTATACATAATATGTGTATACGCTTTAACAATTTACGCGAGCCATGGTGCAGTGGTGCGTTCGTTTGTATCTACGTGCCATTGGCGGACTGCAACACTTGTGCACACAGAGGTGCGACAACTGCATCATCACTGGACTACCAAACCTATACAAAAGCTACATATATGTATGCTTTTCTTTGTGGTTTTAAAATTATAGGAGGGGGAGCGGGAAATGCGTCGAGGATCAGCAGAATTGCGGAAAAACACGTCCCTGTACTATGCATCTACAGGCATGAAATGACAATCAATACGTATACAGTAGACTCATGCCTTATACAAATTAAGGCAACTCGCGAATTTGTATAATTGAAAAATCGACGAAACTTTAAATGTTATAATATGTGGACGAGAGAAGGATATCTGCAGTGTACTTGTATATATATATACATGTGTGGCTGATGATGGTGGAAGAAAAATGCGTGCGGCAGTGCGGCACGAGAGCTATATGCATCATCGGAGAGAAAAACACGATATAAGTATGGTGTGGGGGAAGAGAAATAAGAAAACGGAGGGGGAAAGCGATGGCGAAGGAGAGAGAAACAAAGGTGGAAGCTGCGATGGGTATATTATTGGTGTGAGAGAAGGACGAAGGACATCTCATTCGTCTCTGCAGTGCTGTACACTGTATTAAATGGACAAGGAGAGAAAGAGAAGCATCAGAGGGTACAGCCAATTGGGGTGGTGGTGGTGGTGGTGGTAACTGCGAACGCTAAAAGTAAAAGCTATAGCTGTAGAGAGACAAAAAATCGAGATTTGTACAGCTGATGGGTGGGAGTCGAGTGTAATTATAACTAAACGTCTCCCTACCCTCTACTTATTTATTTATTTTCACACTTATGCTTAAACATAGATAGTACACGCAAGAAAATGCCCATCTCTCCCTTATATCCTGTATCTGAAAAGTTTTTCAAAATAGTGCATAATTCTACCTGTAAAATAATGAAATAGGCGATTTCACTATTTCAAAGTTTTATACCTATAACTTATTAGGTTTGGTGCAACTTCAATAATGAATTTTACTGCGAAATAGTGAATATTCCCTACTTCTACCAAGTTAACGTTTCACTATTTAAATTAGTTGGTTAACTTATCAAACGACCCTAATTTTTCTTTATTTCGGCAGTGAAAATCTTGTTCACTTGCGCAAATAGTGAAATTTCCACTATTTCAAATTGAGAGAGTATGAATATAATATATTGATGTATTGATGAGTGAAAGTGTAATCTTACAATTAGTTTTTGTTGGAAAAAGGAACGTAGCCTGTCGTGGAAGGCTCGATTAAATAATTCAAATTAATTAGATTTAATGCTGTACTTTGAGAAATTTTTACATTTTATTGATACAAACGTGTATGCGTACTTAATTAAGTACATACGGTGAAAGAAATTGGTATGGAATATGTGTATTTGATCACTGGCTGTTTTGAGGAAAAAGTATGTGTACATAATAACTTTTCCTTCCTTTCTCAACTCATAAATAAACTATTACCCCTTTCAAATGCAAATCTATGGAATACTGTGCATTTTTTCACCAAACGCGTGTACACTAATGAATGACTTGTTGAGTTTTCATTATCCAGCAATTGTGATACAGTGAAACGTTATCACCGACACTTTCACACTGTATAGTTGTGCAGATTTTCTTGCAAGAGCGTAGTTGCGTTGGCCAATACAAGCATTATATACTAAGATATCGTAACATCGAATTCTGAGCTTTTTTTCTTTCTTCATTTTTTTTCTGCAAGATCAAGTGCACATTCAAATGGAAAACAGTCAGTTGCTTTTATCACATTCCGGCATACTATACTCTTATCCCGTGATGTGTAGTCTTTGAAAGCCGATTTAATTTGATTTATATCGAAAAACTACTTTGAATCCTTGGCATATATCACGTGACTCCCTAACGAGCTACCTTGTGTTGCTCGCTAATAATTCTTCGTAATGCGATTTTCCAAATATATATATATATTTTNCCGGCGCTTGAGCTAATTCGCGGACTTAAAAATAGCGAAAAACGGAAAAGCGTCTCTTTACCACGACAATTAGCGGCAACGGCACCGCTAAACCGTCACCGTTGAGTACAAAAGCGCGATCTAATTATCCGTGTGCGCGTTTTTCGTTCCTTTTGTGACCAAGAAACTGCTGAATGTGAAGCGATAAGTGGTTAAAAAAAAAAAAAAAATACGAAATTGGTCTCCTGTTTTTTTTCATACCGGCATACAACGAATGCAACGAATGGCTAATGTATAGGTACCAACAACCAAATTAGCGCATTCCAAGTCCACTTAACAGCCACACATCAAAAGCGGCTTTTACCTCTATTTCTGTTTCCGCTGCCAGGATGTTGGCAAACTGCTAATCTCGTCCCCTCACCACTAGGTATATACTTAATATATGTATACCATGTCCTTTACCATAATTCACGTATATGTGCCGTTCCTTATGCAGCATCGACAACCGCGGGTTGCCCCGAACTTTTAGCTAAAAGGAAATCAATGTCCTAACTCATCACTCCTTTCGAGACTACAATCTACATCGTTTTACTGCAGGTATAATGCTATACAATCTCGAAAGGGCCTCTTCCGAAACGCTTCGGATGAATATGCTCCGCACGACAAAATCATCGCAGCGGCAAAAGTGGAGGAAAAAAAAGAAGATGCCCCCCTTCCGGCACAGCTCGTCGGCACCGCTAAATAGAAAAGAACAGCTCGTTATGAGTGAAGCCGGACAGTGGCGGTCCCTCTCTAAGCAAACAAACCCCCTCATCCCACCTCCCCTGTTTTCGAGAAAAAAAAAAAAGTCAAAAGTGCAAGAGGCACTTATGTAGCAATACACGGAGAAGCGAATGGCATACAGCCCCGGGGAAGGAACAGAGGAAGAGAGAGAGCCGCCCGCCGTGCAGTGGGTCTAATCTCGAGCCGAACGAGGGGAGAAGATCGCTCTTTTCCTTTTCGACAGAGACATCAAGTCGTACAGGTAAAAGTATACACGGAACGTGGTTGTTAGCATAGGCAGCGGAGAACAGGGCCCCCCCGCGGCAAGGGGGAGAAATAGGCGATTTCGCAGCTCCCTTTTAGCGAGCGACGGCTGTATAATAATAACAATAAAAGTCGAAGAGGAAAAAAAAAAAAAAAAAAAGGAGAAGGAGAGAGAAAAGTAGCCAAAGACCGCCTCGGAGATAAAGACGATCCGTGCGCTTCTAATTGGGGCCTAATTTATTCTCTGACTCCCCACACTCACGGGGTCAATCCCGACTCGCCGGTGGGCCCCCGCGCGGTCCATATACCCTGCATGTTTTTCAAATATTCCCTCGGACCCGCCCGCCGAGGGGCTCCCAGCTTCTTTTCGCTCTCGTTTCCCTTGCCGATGTGCGTATAACACACGGGTGGTGGGACTCTCTCGCACCGTGAGTCTTTTATATGCGTGCACGCGTGTGAGTCGGCTTGAGACGTTACTCCGGGGAAAAAAAGGGCAAACGCGAGCCAAAGATAAAAACTTTTGGTCAAGTTATTAGGCCTGGGAGCTTGCCTTTGGTAATGAAAAATTTAGATTAATTTCTTCTTTTTTTTTTGGGTTGGGGGCATGGGCAGTGGTAGCAATTATTTACTCTTTTTTTTTTTCTTTTCAATGCCGATCAAATCCAGCGGTAATTTTGGCGCTCGGAAAAATCAGGACACAAGTCGAGTAGATGTGCAGGGACATCGACAAACCCGAAGGAAGCGAAGGAGGGAGGGAGGTAAAAAAAAAAAAAAAAAAAAAAAAAAGAGGCTGATAGGAGGAATATTCGGGCCATGAATTTATAGGCACGCGCATCAGGAGTGCTGGCGAGAGAGATAAGATACCCGGGAATAATCGAGCATACAAACCTGTTTAGGATCGCGGACGCGCGCGAGGTTCTTCTCGTTATACTCTGCTCTTTTTATCTCCCCGATGCCTTCCTTTTGCAGCCTATATACGATAAGGGAAGTCGCTCGTTTTTCGTGGCCCCTTTTGCGCGTGTGTTGAGACTCCCTTGGGCATAGCAGCCGATCAAAGGGCGAAATCGAGAAGGGCAAAATCGAGAAGGCGAACGAAGGAAGCAATCGGAATCCTTCATTGTACTCATACGTACGAGAGCAGCTCGAAAGGATATGAAAAGCGCGTAGGGTGTGATGTATACTTGATAAAACAATGCGCCAAGAGAGTTACGAAAAGGACGCGCGTGCACACCATATACTTTTTTTTTTTTTTTTTTTTATTCATCATCGCCCCTTAAGGGCTCAGACATGGCTATTTTGACACCATAAAGTGTATTTAGCCATACGTTGGGTTTAATAACAGTAGGAGGAAACGGTAGATGGATCGGTAGGTTTATTGAAGTACAACTCCCATCCAGAAAAAAACCTCATTCAATGATGAAATTTTTGTCCAGAGTGGGATTTGAACCCCGGCCATCAAGATCTGTAGGCAGACACGCTACCGACAGAGCCATCATGTGGCTTACACCATATACTTAATACGCAATTACACCGTCCCCTT